TAAAACACTTACATTTAAATTTTTAAACCTAAATCTGTTCTATATATTATTAAGTAGTTTGTTTTGAAAATGCTTTGTGCAACAATCAAAATATTTGTACAAAAAGCAACCTTTGTGAATTCACCATAGAAAAATTGATATTAATATTCGGAGACGCAAAATAATTCCACAAACATACAATACAGTTATGTAAATAATTACGTTAAAAAATAGGAAAAATAACAAAAAATCAAAACTCGGTAATAACATCATCTATCCCGTCAAGTCTCGACTGCGATGCAATCTATCAAACCGTCGCATTAATTCAGACAATTGCAGTCGAACTGACGTTGTTTTAGGCACGTACTGGCGTATCGCCAAAGCCGATTCGAAGTCCGATACTTCGTTTACAGGTTTAATTGATTTATTAGGCCATCGGTATAAATAGTTTTCCCCTTTAGATGCAACTTTGAATAATCTATAGATACTCTAAATGCATGACTCAACGATGAAAATTTGGGTCTAGACAATATTGCAACTCTTTTATGGTATATTTTCTAATGAAAGAATTGTGTAGTTAAAAAGGTATTTTAATGTTGCGTTTAACCATTTTTGTATAAGATATTGAAATCAGAGCAAGATTTATCTGAAAATCTGAAATATGAAACAAATCTGTGTCACATAATACTTTCTTAGATTTACGCGAATGTTTGACATTATTAAATAAAACTATCTTTTCGGATTATTTCGCGGATTTATTTTGATTTTTGGTTCCCGACGTTTCGAATGCTTTGCAGCATCCATGGTCACGGGAGAGACTGAGGTGTTACATGTCTTAAAGATATAGTTGTTACAGACAGCCTACCCACAATTAACAAAATGAAAATTGCACCAATTATATTACAATATTTTTTTAACTTTAAACATTTTTATAATTTTAATTATAATTGAATATGGAAAATTATTTATTTAATTTTTTGCTATTATTTTTATAATTATTACAATTTTAAAAAATATATTAATTAGTAATCTATATTTAGTGTTGCCATTATTATATATATAACCATAAATAAAAATATAAAAATATAGTATTATTTATTTATTTATTTATTTATACTTTATTGTACACCACAATCATAAAGTAAATACAAGTAAACACAATATAAAAAAAGAAACAGAAACAAAAGTGTGCACAAAAGGCGGTCTTATCGCTAATTAGCGATTTCTTCCAGACAACCTTTGGGTTAGGAAATATGGAAGACTATACAGGGTGGGTGGTGTAAATATTAAATATTATATACAATACATACCACAATACAACCTAATACTTAGAACTACTACATATATATCTCTATGTATATAATATATATCTATAAATTATACTAATACATATTTAAATTAAAATTAATATAAATCTTGTACAATGTCGACTTCTCATTTAGAAAAATGATCTAAAAAATGATTTTTTACAGATTTTTTAAATATTTGTAATGATTCGGAACGTTTTATGTGAACAGGCAAACTATTCCAGAGTTTGGTTGCTTGTACAGAGTAAGAGTACTCGAAGAATTTACTTAAATGTACAGGTATACTTAGCATCAAATTCTATGAAGATCTTAACCTATTCGTATGAGATCCTAGAAATTCAAACTTCTCCTTTAAATAAGGCGGGTATGCTGGATTAAATAACACACAGTACAGAAGAGAGAGAATGTGTAGATACCGGCGACATCGGATTGGGAGCCACTTGAGTTTTGTTCGATATTCAGAAATGTGGTCATATTTACGCAAATTAAATATGAAACGAATTGCAAGATTTTGGAGTCGCTCGAGTTTATTTAGATGGTCCTCAGTCAGATTAAGATAGCTTGCGTCTGCATAATCGAGAATCGGAAGGAGCAGAGAATTTGCTAACATAATTTTGGTAGGAATGGGCAGTATAGAACGAAGACGCCGCAAATAACCCAGTTTAAAGAATAATTTCCTACTCACTTCTTTCATTTGTACTGACCAAGATAGAGTTTGGTCTAAGTGAACGCCAAGATCTTTAACTGTAGAAGAATAAGGTATAACAACCCCATCATACTCTATCGCAGGTAAATTCAAGCCTTCATGCCTTGCAATCAGACTTGGGCTACCGATAATTATCACTTGTGACTTTCCAGGATTAATGTTAAGGCCGTATAGTTTGCTCCAGTAATAAATTGCTTGTAGATCTTTATTTATCGTGATGATGGTAGTGCTCAAATTTTCGAGTGTTGAATGGCGGTAAATCTGAATATCGTCTGCATACATGTGATAGGAAGATGAAATATGTTGAGTAATAGAGTTAATAAAAATTGCGAAGAGTAAAGGAGATAATACGCCACCTTGAGGTACCCCAGCCTGGACGTCACACCATGAGGATACATTCTCCTCAATCCGAACGCGCTGACGTCTGCCTTTGAGGTAACTCCGAAACCAATCTACCACGGATGGAGATATGTTAATAGAACACAGCAGTCTCAACAAAATATCATAGTCTACTGTGTTAAAAGCATTGCTGAAATCAAGAAGTGTCAGGATCGTGAGTTGTTTATTATCCATAGCTAAACGAATGTCGTCAGTAACTTTGATTAGCGCTGAGGTCGTACTATGACCAGGTCGGAAACCGGATTGGAAAGGGCTCAGGATAGAATGCTGATTAATGAATAGGGTAAGTTGTTGGTAGATTAGTTTTTCTAGGACTTTGGATTCCTATCCAAAGTCCTAGAAAAACTAATCTACCAACAACTTACCCTATTCATTAATCAGCATTCTATCCTGAGCCCTTTCCAATGGCAATATAGAAATAGGACGAAAGTCAGCAGTACAGGAAGGATTAACTTTTTTAGGGAGAGGGATAATCTGGGCATTTTTCCATGCATCAGGGAATTTTCCGACGGAAATGGAATGATTAAGGATATGAGCCAAGATAGGAGTAACAATATCTAGGATAGGAATGATCATTTTACGACTGACGCAATCAGTACCAACGGCATTCGAAGAGATGGATAAAATGTTCTTTTTAACATCACTTTCTGTGAACGATCTAAAAGTAAACGGTGGAAAATCAGGGGTTGGTAAAGCAGAAAGAATATTTAATGTATGTTGCTTACTGGCGCTATCAAGTGCATCCGAAGTACAGAAATAACTATTAAGGGATTCAATATCCAATTTAAAAGAGGTATTAGATGAGGAAGATTTTCCAACTCCCAGTGTTTCCAAAAATTTCCAGGTCTTAGAAGTATCGCCGTTTTCGATTGATTTGTGAATATGGCGGCGATTAGCATCCCTACACGATGTATTGCAGCGATTCCGAGCTTTATTATATTTTTTGCGATTGACTTCATTATCGTTAACCTTGAACTTATATTTTGCCTTATTTTTCTTATGAATTAAACTTTTTATTTCGTCTGTTAGCCATGGTGCTGGGAGATGTTTCATTTTAATTGGCCTAATAGGAGCATGAGTATCATAAAGTTGTGTAATTAACTTGTTAAAAATATCTACTTTACTATCTAATGAATTTGCATCAGTAACTAAAGACCAATCAATAGATTGTGCATCGTCACACAGGCGACTTACATCCATTCCACCAAAATTACGTTGCAGAAGGATTTTCGATTTAGCCTTGGGAGGACGAACTTTATATGAGAGGTATATAAGATCATGGTACGAGAACATGTCGGCTGAACATTGACCATGTTTTGAAACAAAATTAGGAGATGAGACCATTATTAGATCAAGAAGTGAAGGGGTACAACTAGGGAAATTGTGGGTGGCTGCTAGAGGAAGTATATGCATATCACACGAGTTAATAGTATTTAACAGTTTGTTACTACGGGTGTCACCTTTTAGTAGGCAAGTATTAAAGTCACCCATTATGACACTATGTTCATAAGTTGGAATTAGGTTTTCTAAAAGGTTTTCAAAGGAAGGGAAGTAATTAAGTGAAGGAGAGGGACAATAGAATACACCTAAAAGGATTTTCGAATGAGAGAGAATGACTTCAATAAGTAAATGTTCAGCAGTATCCACGGGAGGTGGCTGAGTTGACGAGCTAATTAATGTATAGGGAATATAGGAGCGTAAATAGATCGCAACACCACCACCACCCTTACCAATGCGGTCATTGCGGATAAGGCGGAAACCAGGGAGAGAATAAGAGGTTGATGGTAAGCAAGGCTTGAGCCAAGTTTCGGACACCAGGATAGCGTGTATATTACGCGATTCGAATGACGCAAGCATGTCTGGATAATGGGCCGGAATACTTTGGGCATTGATATGGATAATATTAAAATTTTTCGAACAGTCTGAGAAGTAAGAATCAAGGGTAACATTGAGAGAGGGAAGTGAGGTACTGTGGAAGCTATCATTACTAGATAAGTCATCTGAAGACGACATAGACAAAAAAATATCACTATCACTTACGTTGGACGACATTTCAGTTTATAATAAAATATAATATTATAATAAAATACAATACGTTAATAAAATATAACTTAAATAAAAATAAAAAAAATAATAATATATGTATAATTATTTCCTTACCCGCCAGCTATTCTGAATTAAAGATATATATTAATAATTACATATCAAAAAATGTGCTAAATTTTATAAAAAATAATATAAACATAAAGAAAAAACAACTTTAAAATTGAAAATTAAAAGAACAAATTTTGTCTTATTATTTCCGAACGTACCCAGTACAGTGACGTATTATTTGTCTGTGCTCTGTGCTGTCAAAGTCAAACGTTAAGCGTACGTTTGTACTTTGTACTTTGTTGTTATTTATTAAATTACCTACCTTAAGGAAATTAATGCACAGGCTATCATAAAAAAAAAACAATTAATTAAAATAATACAATATAAACAAAGAATAAGAGCCATAAACAGAGTGGGATTGAATGAGAAAAACAAACCAAGTACATGTGGGACGAGTAAAAATTAAAAACAATGAATAGTTATAAACATGGATTACAAAACAATTACAGTAATTATTTCTTTAACACTCTTTTGGTTCTGGGATTAGTAATTTTTGAAGATTTTGAGGCCTCCACAGCAGCGGGCATGAGGACAGGACCAGAAGCACTATTAGCTGAGCTAGGAATTGCGTTCAGTTCAGATGCACTAGTTATCCGGTGCTTTGAGCCATCCGCACTTAACACCACTATAACACCGTCCCTAGTCCAACACTTAGTTACACCGAAACGTTGTCGTGCCGCTAAGAATGCTTTATGACGAGGCTTAGTCAGAAACTCAGACATAGTTACCCCGGTGCCTTTTAACTTTGTTTTGGCCGACCAAACTTGATTTCTTAAGGCCAGGTCACTAAATTTAATAAGCAAGGCACGGGGCTTATCCTTATCATTATGTCCAAGCCTATGACACCGACTAAAAGAAGCTGGAACCACTTGTGGAATTTTATTATAATTAAAATTATAAAAATGTTTAAAGTTAAAAAAATATTGTAATATAATTGGTGCAATTTTCATTTTGTTAATTGTGGGTAGGCTGTCTGTAACAACTATATCTTTAAGACATGTAACACCTCAGTCTCTCCCGTGACCATGGATGCTGCAAAGCATTCGAAACGTCGGGAACCAAAAATTAAAATAAATCCGCGAAATAATCCGAAAAGATAGTTTTATTTACAAATCTGTGTCTAAAAATTTTATGAATATTTTATTATATCTTAATAAACCATTTTTAAAGCTTAGTTTTATCGCTGTTTGATGTTAGAACTATATAAAAATGACGTATATTGACTAGTATAAGAGATATCATAAAACAAGAATTATAGCATAGGTAGGTGCCGTTGGGGTTCACTAAAACTCACTGTTACTAATATAAGTTGAATGTTAGTTCTTGAACAAACATAAGATTTAATTTTATAATAGAAAAGAGTCTTAAACAGCCAAAACACACTACAAAAAGGCGCGCGAGCGCGAGAATTCCTTACCCCCCAGCGAAACGCTTCTAAGCCACTCTGACGACCAACGCCTCTAGCGGTCAGTCGATGCAACATTCACACAGATAATTAATAACTTAACTCCTAAAGATGGTACCACACGCTATAGAATAGAATAAAGAAAATATATATGTACATACATACTACATATGTACCTTTAATCTACGACCTTTAATGCAGAGAGAATATCACCAGGTAGAACATTGATAATCACTTTTTAATTAAAAAGGTACACTGGAGTCCATATCGCGATAACCATGAAACTAATTTAAAGTTGTAAATTCCATACGTAACGTTGAAGTGTACCTAGAGAGGAACCCAAGCGAAGCGAGGGTGAATCACTTGTAATATTATAAATATGAATGTGTGTTTGTTTGTTTATCAGTAACAGAGTCACGAATTATTTGGAATGCTGAAGAGTGACATAGGTTTTTTACCGCGGGTGATTATCTCATTCCCACGGGAAAAGACGTTATAATACAATTCACAACAACTCATCATATATATAATAGCCCATCTATTATAACTAACCGTTAAAATGTACCTGGGGACGGATTTCGACCAAAGGAGAAGGGATGAACCGCTAGTATATAGTAAAACATACACCAAAATCAAGTTTCTTCTCTTTTTATGAAGTCGGTTACTTAGGACACCTACAATAGATTTAAACTTTATCTCCAATTGATAAGTCCTTAGTTAACATAACATAATTATCATTGTTTTATTATGAGTGCATAATTACATTAATCTAACAGAAATTCATTTTAGGTAAATATTCTAGTGCCTATATTATATACATTAGAATTGAATTTTATCTCATAAACAAAACTTGGTACTTTAAAATTCGTCGTACATCCTTAATGAGGAAAAATGGAAATTAAACTTCTTAACTCAATAAAAAGTCTTTATTTGTTACAAATTATTAATTGGCTCGACTTAAATTCTTTGAATAAATCCACAATGTGCTTTAGACAACTTGTTCCAGAAGGAATAGATTTATTTTGAATTGTGTAGTGTCGTGTTGCACGTTTGGAGACCTTACACGTCCTCACACAAACATATTCGCCCTCTTTCTCTCTCTCACACACATACACACGCACACACGCACGCACGTACGCAAGCACGCGCGCTCGCACGCACGCACGCACACACGCACGCACACATACACACTTAATTACAATAAAAATCCTCTAATTTAGAATAAAACCGAAGTTTGCCATGTTTTTTTTTAACTTTATATCTTTTGATATTTTCAATCAGCCTTTTGTTTGTCCAGTCCGTGGGAAGCATCCTAAAATATGTTGTCAACTTACAGTAAGAATAAATAAAAGGGTAAATATTAAAGTACAGAGATTTTTATTTTGTGTTCTTCGTCCAGTGATCAAAATTCGACCATATTCTCTATATAAAAAATATTTTTATTCAATATTTTTTCAGAAAATAAACTTTAAATTAAATTATACCTATCAATTTATTACATTACACAATTTATACGATATTAAAGTTTATTTTTTTCTTTTTAAAGCATTTAAATAAAAGCTTGGATTAAAAATAAATAATTTTACAATTATTTTATTTTAAACCAATTCACCTATAAAATATCGAATTTTATTGGCAGCTTAACTTGGTACATAATCAAACGAAGCATAAAATAAATATTTAATGATCGTGAATTATTTATTACCGCAAAAACTAACCTAACTTAAAATATTATGACTGAATAAAATTATTTATAAAAATGTTAAAAAACGGATTTGAATGAAATTCAGAATGTGAATAACTTACACTTAAGTTTAATTTATTATCAACATAATTGAAGTAGCAATACTAGAAATTAATTAGTTTTAATGTTTGATTCTATGTCTGTATGTCTTATATGACTTAATGTACTCTTACCTAAAAGTAAGTATGTAAAAAAATAATATAATGTAAAATTATAATAAGATATTGTCAGTTAGTACTTGATGGATCATTTTTAACAGGATTTTCTTTAATAACTAGATTGAAAGATTTAGGAGGGAATGATTCTTGACATGCTGGATATTAGGTAAGTATTTTATACCATATTATAAAAAAATGGGTGGTAGTCACTCAGTTTGTCGTTTTTTTTTGTGTTTTTGTAATGGTGGTCCAACATTTAATATGCAAGGACATTAACACGCAGCACCATCTAATTCCATGGTAAGCTACGAGGCTTGTGTTATGGATGCAAGATAGTTGATACACTACACATATATAACTTTAAATACATACGTATTATAAATATAAACACCCATGACTGGAGTACAAACATTCGTGCTAATCACACAAATGAATGCCCCCAGCGGGACTCGAACCCGCGACCGCTGGCACAGTAAGTAGGGTCACTACAAACTGAGCCAAACGTGTTGTCTAAGGGAAAAAAATAACAGCCAAAGTTATTTTTAAAATATATTATTTAGATGCAGAGTTATTAACTTCCTTCGAAACAATGACTAAATTCATATAAAATGACCGAATTCATGAGAAGCTATTTTATTATACTTTCAAAGAGAAAAACTAAAGTTTCTAATACACTTAAATAATAAAATTGTTAAAGGCTACTAAGGAGCTAGTGGAGAAATGTCTGGGTGTTCCAATTAATAATTCCCTGTTTGGAGGGAAGCCAACTCTAACCGCAACTTGAGCGAGTAATGCCATTTTAGATGCGATTTCAGTTTAAAAAGGAAAATCGTTTAGGGATATTACTCTTTGATTTTGATATTTTTGCTTACATAAATCTACATAAGTAAATATATTTATGTACGTACTTACATACATACGCAGTTTATCTCAGCTTTTAGCATGTGACATTGGTTCAATATGGACGTTTCAGAATAATTACACCGATTTTTTGTTCTACAGATCTCATCGACCAATACTTTTGTTTTGTAGGATTCATATTAACGAATAAGTAGCAATTCAGCTTAGTTTCTTAAATTGAGTGACTTATTTTTTTACCATAAATAGTCAAAATATATAACTAGATGGCACTAAATGGAGGAAAGATTGAAAAAATGTGAAAAAAATATAACGGAACTGAGAACCTCCTCCTTTTTAAAGAAGTCGACTGAAAAATACTTTGGTTTTTTGTGTACAGACAATATTTCAATATTTTTTAAAGTATAATTTTAACATTTCAATTTTACTTATATGATTGCCTAAAATTTAATCATAAGATACTAGCAACTCACCCTCGCTTCACTCGGGTTAAATCTATCCCACGGGAACCGTACATTTTTCGGGAAAAAGAGAAGGGTAACGTAGGTTAGATTATGTACTACTATTGCAGTTTATAATATAATAAATATAAACTATCCCTGTGCCAGACATCCTTCATCATTCCTTATAATTATTCAGTGTCCGTAAGCTAGAAATTAGGTTAAACGAAAATTTAAACACTATTGTTCCAGTTTTGAGTGGAGACAAAGAATAGTGTAGTGGATGAGAAGTAGTACTCTGATGTTGGCAAGAATTTCGCTGTATCTTTAGATTTTCTACTTAATCTCAAGTGCTCTCGAGTGATTTTTAAAGTTACGCGCACTGTTCGCTTTTATGTTCATTTACAACAGCTTTAATACCTAAACGACTAACATAACTGTATGAGCGAACAAACATAGTCTAAATGATAATGTCCGCCTTGTCGAAATCATCACATCGATATTAAATAAATAAATAAATAAATAAATATGTTATGACATTAACACACAGCACCATCTAGTTCCATAAGCTACGAGGCTCGTGTTATGGATACCAGATAGTTATGATATACATACATAATACATATTATAGATATAAACACCCATGACTAGAGTACAAACATTCGTTCTTATCACACAAATGAATGCCCCCTCGGGACTCGAACCCGCGACCACTGACACAGCAAGTAGGGTCACTACAAACTAAGCCAAACGTGTCGTCAAAAATATGGCGAATAGGAAAAATAAATAACCTAATATAGCTATCGCACTTCAAGAGTTACAAGTTACAACAAATGTTACTTCTATCATAACATGTCCAGTTTACTCGTTGAATTCATATTTAAATGATAATTTTATAAAAAATGAGTCGCCCATGATTATTAATTGAAAAAGAACAACAACCAAAAACCAATTTAAACCTTACCAGTAATTATGGGCTATACATTAAAACTCCCTACAACGTAATCAGGACTCGTTACTATAAAATAAACTTTATCACTCACGCCCAAAACGTAAAATCGATTAGGTATCACGTAAATTAGACTCATAGAAAACGCGTTCTGGTTAACTCTCCGACGTAAATTGATCTATCATCTGCTGTACATTTGGTTCTTGGCGTACATTTTTGCTAGTGGCTAGGGAAGGATGGAGATCATTTTAAATTGGTTGGTTGTGCCAGAATAAATGGCATCAGGTCACGTGATTAGGCGATTTGTCGTAACGCCTAAACGATTATTCGTATCATTAGTCATGTTACCACCTTTGATAACGTCGTTACTTTATTCATTGTAGAATTTATGAGGCTACATTTTGGGGTTTTCATATAAGAAATAATTTTAGTTAATGCTTTGTGCTTCATTGTAAGCTTTAATATACCTTTTTGATTGAAATATTATAATCATACTTTTTTGTAATTTCTATAGTTTAACAAAAAATACTTTTACTGAAATTACTTTTTCGATACTCGATTTTATAATTTGGTCATTTTTAATTATTCACTTTGGAACAGTTCAATTTATCGGTAGTTGAAACGACATATTTATTAGTCGGTAATATTTTAAAATTCTCAACATATTATGCTATCTCACATATTTCCTGTATTATTGCAAAATTAACTTACTATAATTTGACTTATATTTTATTGGTGGAGTTAGTATCGATAATATTCGTGGAGATAAAAAGATTCACTTCTTATAATCATTTATGCTTTCTTTTCTTCATTTTGCCACTGTACATAATTTAACATCGCGATAAAAGCTTTTGTTAAATTCATAAAATATTTAGTAAAATTTAAATTAATCTCTAAAAGTTTTTATTTCTTTGTAATAATTTTTGTACACATTTCATAATAATTTTTCCCTCGAGTGCTTCCCTGGGGACCTAACAGTAACCTATGTGTTGATTCTGGTAACTATGTACATACAATATTTATCCTCCAGTCATTTCAGCATAAAAGAGTAACAAGAATACAGACACGCACATACAAATTTCATATTTATAATAGAAATCCGATAAGACTTCTAATAGTACGTTAATATTAAAGTGACTAACTATGATCAATTTTCGCCCTTTGGGAATCGAATCTTCGACTTCTATTATAGTTAGGTGTACCAACGCCATACTTTGCCACGATGATTTAATTACAAAGCCATTTACGTAGTTTTATAGTTGGAATTCTTAAGAGAGAATCTTCTCATTTGGTTTCTTGGTTTTAATCAAGTTAATGTACTACATGTACACAAAGTGATTGGGATGTCTAGTTAAATTTCTTATTTCTTAATAGTAATTAAAAGCTACGTACTTTTTACCCATTATTGTGAATCTCTATAAAATATGTACATACATAAAGTAATTATATACTTATTTTTTTATATCTACCTATCTAAATTATATTTGAGTTTCATTTAAAGTTTCTTACTGTACCAGTATAAAAGAGTAGTTATTTCGTAAGTTAAATATACCAAAATAAACTAAAAAAAAACAGACTTAAAATCACTAAGGAGTCAAAAATAACTGATTGATATTTTTCATTTACTATAGATACCTAATTAGATATATATATTCGAAGTCGGTGACAGCCGATACAACTTAAAACACACCGACTTCAAAAATATGTTTATTTGATGTCCAATAAAAAAGAATCATTGAAATCGGGCTACACTATAAAATGTTATGCGTGGTCAAACATAAAAAAAATATACGTGTCGAATTGAGAGCCTCATTCTCTTTTTTGGCAGTTAAAATCAACTCACATTCACTGTAAAGAGCAATTTACAGGTAGAGGTTTCTAGGATACGAATCCATACTAATATTATAAATGTGAAAGTGTGTTTGTTTGTTTGCCCTTCTTTAACGTCAAAACATAGTAACGGATTGGCGTAATTTTTTTGTGTGGAGATAATTGGACGGTTCGGGAGTGATATAGGCTACTTTTTACCGCGGCATATTATCTCATTCCAACGGGAAAACACGTTATAATACAAGCCACAACAACTCATCATACCTATGCCGTTAAAACGTACCGCTAGTATTGAATAAACATAAAAATTTGAGCCACACAGTAAAAAGTAGTAAAGTCTAGTAATTTAAACAAATTAATCAATCAGAACGCAATATAATGACTAGAAAAATATTCCATAAAATTATGAAACTCTCTACAATATGTGCCCCTGGACTTCCTTTTGACATCTCCATTTCACCTTCTAACTTCCTAGAAGGATCTAAAAGGGCCAGTACACCATCCATAGTTTCTAAGCAAGTTGGTAATATTAGATTCGGTGGTAAAGCGAAGCCATGGTGACCATCATCTCGTAGTTCGAATGTTAATACGTATCTAAAACATTAATTTATTAACGTAATTAAAACGTAAGTAATACATTTTTTCAAACTGCCTCAGTGGTGTTATATAGTCAGCATGTACGACTGCATATCTGGAGACCCTAGATTCGAGTCCCCGCTCGAGACAGGTTTAGTTATTGAGATTGTTGAGCAATATTGTACTCGGTAGCTAGTAGTTATATGTGGCTTGTCTAATAAGTCATCATCTATATACACATAGACAAAGACAAAACAATTCAGTATCTGTTTCCTCAATGTTTGTCAACCAATTTTCTTTTTTACTAGCTTTTGAGGAATTTGATCAAATAACAAAAATAATTATAGTTGAATTACGACCACTGAGCGAACATTAGTTACACATAGAATGTCAAAAAAAAAGTTAATGCAAGTATTTTATTATAGCAGATTACTTACGGAACTTTAAATGACTTTTTTACCCAACATCCACTCACTCCAGAAGTAAGATACCCTGTTCAAAAAGATTTAGAATATATTATAATCATAATTAAGTAGAACATTTCTATTCATTCAGGTGCGTCGATAAGTAACTTTTTACGACAAAGAAACCAGATGTACAAGAAGCAACTTAGGCTACTTTCTACCTAAATAATGTCAGTGCCAATAACTATGTATATAAACACAATGTAGGTACTTAATAGTGTAAATGCAATTATTAACTAATGTTTTTTTAAATCCCAAAATAAAAAGAGGCCTATGACGCTGAAATAAAACAGGTGGTTAGTTTCATTTATATCTGTATGCCATATCTACATTTATATATTATAAAGGAACTAGCATTGCCCGCGGCTCGGCCCGCGTTCATAAGACCAAAAACCAAATTCTTAGGTTTTACATATTAGTATACTCTTACATTGCAGTTTTTGTATTTTTTCTCGAAAATGAGACATTTTCCCGCGGTAAAAAATATCTTATATGTTGACCCGGATAACCAGCTATCACTATAGTAAATTTCATCAAAATCCTCTCAGTGGTTTTTCTGTGATGCAGTAACAGACAAACAGACAGAAAGACAGACAGACAGAAAGGCAGAAAGACAGACAGACAGACAAAAATTCTAAAAACTATAGATTCGGTCTCTGTATCGATAGTAATGTCCATTTCAATAAGATTTTCCAAAAAAAATTTAATGTACAGATTCGACTTAGTTACAATTTTATTATATATATAGAGCGATCGAGAGCTGTTTACAATTTATTTAGTCTATACATATAATAAAATTCTGAGTCGAATATGTACATTAACAAAGAGTTTTCTATTAAGATTCAAGTTTTTAGTGTCTTTGAATGAAGTTTCACTTACCAACAGTATCATATGCAGTGCCGATACTATACTGTGTACCGTATCTTCTCGAAATGTGCTTGGCCGCAATTTTTCCCAATAAATACTATTCATTAATTAAAAACATTGAAATTAATAACGATCGTTTGGCTCAGTTTTTGGTGAACCTATTTACTGTGCCAGAGGTAGCGGGTTCGAGTCCTGCGGGGGGCATTTATTTGTATGATTAGCACGAATGTTTGTACTCCAGTCATGGGTGTTTAGATTTATAATATGTATGTAGTTAAAGTTATACTCGTATATGTGTAGTGTATCATCTATCTGGTAAGTGCGGATTGGCGAACTGCATATTATGTCTTTCGTAAACTAACTTCTTACTACAAAGGGTCACTACAAACAGAGCCAAACGTGTCGTCAACTTGGTCAGCGTGGTGGGCTATAGCCTGATCTCCCTCGTATTAAAGGTAGGCCCGTGCTCAGCATGAGGACGTAAAAGAGGGCTGAATACATACATCACTTTAAAATATTTCATTGAGACACTAAGAGAAAAAATTTAGCTTTAATTTCAATTAGGAACGTGTTGGATTGCTCGTTATTAACCAAACTCAAAAATATAACAATTGTAGAATTAGAATGACTTTCAGCTACTTAGGAGTGATTTTTGACAATGAGACATTTTGCTAATCAAGTAGCTAGCATGTAATGTTGCGAATCTTTATTTACAAAAGTCGGAAGAAAATCAACTCTTACTCAAACACAAAACTACGCTATACATATTTTATTGTGCTTCTTGAATTTACTACATACACTATTTAAAAATAACTTTATAATACCCACAACTTGATTAAAATTTTCCTGATGCTTAGCAGAATATGCATATGGAATAATCAGATACTGTCCGTATGAATGAAACGCCAAATAATATTTCAAATTGTCCTTATTTTTTCTTATAAAATTGCTCATCGCAGCACTCTCTGCCTCAGAAAATGCCGTTGGTCCACAATATACATCACTAGTCTTTGATGAGCTGACTCCAACCGCTATTTGAAAATTATCATGGACATGCTACTCTTATATTATGAAATCTAGTGAAGTTTTGTTTTTATAAATAAGTAAACATATGTTTGTACATATGTACATATATATAAATCTATACGAATATTTTAAATAGGTAGAGTTTGGTAGTTCGTTTGTTTGAACGCGCAAATTTTAGGAACTACTAAAACGATTTGAAAAATTCTTTATATATTAGATAGCCCGTTTAATGAGGAAGGCTATAGGCTATATAATAAGTATCGTATAGTATACAGTCTATTTATTCCATACTAACTGTTAAAATACACCTAGGGACGAACCCGAGCGAAGCGAGGTTAAGTCGTTAGTATAATAATATAAGCAATAAGCATTATATAGTTATAAAATTTACATTTGCCGTTCATCGGCATAATAAACTATAAGTGGCCTTGGGTTTGTTCAATATAGCACTTCGGGACGCTCGTCATTAATATCAGGACCAAAACTAGCTATTACAAGGGTCCCTATAAAGTATAAACTGCAAAAAATTGACCATTGAATTATGACATTTTAACAAAAATTGACCATTGGAACATGAACCCGTTGAACTATAGGGGTGTCGCAAACACAAACACATACACATCATTTTAAAATTAAACAATAAAGAGAAAAGTTTAAAAGTAAAATTGTAGTGTAAAAATCAGCTATTTATAAGTAGGCAAAAACAAAACAGCTCAGTACGTTTTTCTCATCTGTTTGTCAACCGATTTTCTTTTTTTTTTCACTAAGTAACTATCGACGAGATTTAGTATTATCAATAAAAAAATACATTTTTTATATAGATAGATAAATTCTATTTATATATGTTTTACATAAAATTTTCAGTAATGATTGTAGTCGAATTTCGACCGCCTTATTATTAATATATTAATTTGCTACTTACTTCCAAATTGAATTCCGAAATTCCTATTTATGTCTACGCCACGTACATTTTTTCTGTACAAACGGTCCTGTGTAATAATTTTTCGAAAATATCTGATTAGGTATCTATTCTAAATGAAAACCCCCGTTTAGTTATTTTTTTACATTTAAGTGCCTAGAAGTCGGTTTTTTATAATATGTGGCTATATTATGTGGAAAAAATATGTGTGTGAAAAGAAACAGAAGAAACAGAGTAGACGTAAAGACGGAGAAATTGCACCATACTTCAAAGTCGAAGACTAACTCTTAAATAATTGCTATATATATATATATACATATATATATATATATATATATATATATATATATATATATATATATATATATATATATATATATATATATATATATCGCGGTATAAGAACCAGATGAACGTATCTACAAAAAAATCGTTTTTTTTTCATAAAACGAGTCACAATATGGTCCTTTACGAAATGCCAAAACGACGTAACAGTAAAGTCAATAGTTCAAAAGTTCCAAAAAAACGAAATTTCAATTGAACCAGAAAAACGTATCATGAGTACCGCTAAATTAGTTTTAATTATCTTATTACCAGTTAGGGCTATAGGAACGTAATTGTAAAAACAAAATTTTTAATCGTAGAATATTGTTTCGTTCACAATATAATACACGAACCATATCAACGTAAAAGCTTATACGTTGTTTTGGGTGTTACAAGATGGTGTTTTTATTCTAAATTTGAAGAGCCAAAATAACGTTTATCTATTTAAGTTTTATTGACACAAGCATTTTTATAAAATAAATAAAAAAAGGTAAGGGCCACAATTTAAAAAAAAATTTATTAATTAAATAAAATTCAAAAAAATAAATATTGTGACAATGCAAGCCTGTATAAATAAATAAATCTTTACTATTTCTGAGCTCTAATAGTATGCCAATATATCGACATATTTTTTCTTTCGTTAATTTTATATTATCACTAATAAAAAGCTGGTAAAGTTTGAAGTGGCGATTTTACCCAGTATTTTTGCTCTCCTGTAAAATTGAGAAAATGTATATACGTCCATTTGACTCTTACACCGCGATATATATATATATATATATATATATATATATATATATATATATATATATATATATATATATATATGCAGGTTGGCTTATTGATCTAGTAGCAAGCACGTACAGTTGCAGATCCTCAAGATGGGTTCGAATCCCGGGTTAGACTTAATTAGTTGTTAAGTTTTTCTGTCAAAAAATACTCAATAGCAATTCAACGTAGGTTAGTCGGTGATGTTATATATCTGCCTGAAAGACTACGTAAAGCCTCGCTATTTGTATATTATTATTTTTCAGTAACATAGGCTGCTGAAGCCGAAAAATCTGTCTGTAGTAATCTCACCCGTGACCATGATTGCTGTAAAGCATTTGAAACGTTGGGATTTGGGAACCAAAAATAAAAAAAAATCCGAAAAGACAATTTTACTTAAAATGTTAAATGTTCGCGTAGATTTAAGTAATTATCATTAAATTTTAATTAATTTATATACCTTAACATGTGTGTATTCGTACCCATCAGGATTAAGTACAGGTACAAAAAACCATTCGTAAGCTTCCGCAATATTTTTTAATTCAATATTCTCAGAACTTGCAGTTAAAATTTGATGCATAAAGTAAGTGACGAAGGATATCGATATCCATTCCCTTGCATGTATACCTCCTTCTACAAAAACCTTGGGCCTGAAATGAATAGAAAATATTTTATGTTCAAAATCAAAATATATTATATAATACATAATTACACTACGGGGCTATATAATTTATTTATTCCCGACGTTTCGACTGGGATGCACCAGCCATGGTCACTGGCAGACCGACCGTGATCACGGCTGGTGCATTGTTATATAATTATGGAACGCGAAAATTTAAAAAGTTATTCAAAATATATTATTTAAATATGCTTTTCAAAAAAAAACCTATTATAAATAGGAAGAAATTGCTAAAAAATGAGATTGTCGACTGTCTTTCAAATCATTTGTTTTAGAATAATTCGAGAATTATTTCTACAGTAATTTAAAAAAAAATTGATACACAGTTGGTAAGAAACAAAGCGCTTCTACACCTACAGGTACTTAAATGAATTTTAGAAGGTCCTCAACAATTTTTTAGAAAACATTTTAACTGAGGAAAACAAACTTAAATAATTACTTATTCCTTGACTTTCCAAAATTGATTTTAGCTGCTAAAATCTCTCGTTTCCCATAAGTTATTCCGATACTGTGCAATTTCATCACGCTTGAATAGACACTGTTCAAATCTTTCATCCACTCGTAAATATCATTAAGTCGAAAATAGCTTCTCCAGTCAAATGACTCCATATTACGTCGTATATAAGTTTTGACCGTTTGTTTATCAAATGCACTAAAAATTAAGTATAATTTAGTATAATTATTATATTTAAGAAATTATATACAAATTTAGTATTTTATTTAACTCAAGTAGGCAGTCTGTTGAGTTTACTTACTATAGAAAAACTATAGCTTTATAAGGGGATTACTGCTTTAACGATGCGGAAGTCTTTATTGATAGGTAAATAAGAAAAAAATATATTTTTGTAAAAGCAGAGTTTTAAATTAAATATTATTTACAAACTTGAAAGCCTTTTAAAGCCTTTGAATATTTTAATTCGTTGAATATATACACAGCTGACGTTTTTTCACCAGTACAATATATAAATAGGTGTGTATGTATATCTTTAATGCTGTTTCTATCAAAAATTATAAAAAAGGTAAATACATCATCATTGATCATTACTTGTCCACGCTAATATCAGAAATTGCTTTATTCTTTTTCATACAGTTTTCATCAGTCTAGAAAGGGATTATCTACGAAGGTTATAATTTTTGGTAATTTTACGACATTAAGTTTAGCTAACCAGTATGGCGATCGAGGTCTGTGTTATGGATACCAGATAGTTGATACACTATACATATATAATTTTAAATACATACATATTATAAATATAAACACCCATGACTGGAGTACAAACATTGGTGCTCATCACACAAATGAATGCCCTCAGCGGGACTCGAACCCGCGACCGCTGGCACAGGAAGTAGGGTCACTACAAACTGAGCCAAACGTGTTGTCAAGTCTTATCCTATCTTATCTGTGAATTCCTTTATTTTTGTAAAAAATTAATTTACCTTTGAATGTTTTCAATAATTGTAGTTAAATAGATTCCATGTAGTGAGGCTTGTCTTAGAAATTCTTGTTTTTTCTCAGGAGGTATCACGAATTCTGATGGCCTATAAGTATAACTTGGTAATCTCCAAACATTTGCCTTATAAATAGTGCTCAAATTTGATAAAAATTCCAAATGTGCTTCTGTAACAGGTATAGCTCTGAATAACGTGTGATTGTGATATTCCTTTGAAACACATTGATTTATATACAATATGACAAGAAATACAGCAATAAAAAAGGCTTTCATTGTTGCCGTAGTTTTTGTTTAAGAAATAATTTTATATTTTTCGCATTAAGCCTTATAGATTTCACATTTTGTCATAGATGTCATAAATGAAGTTAGTGACAGCATCAAGATTTGTAGACGAAGAATTGTATATGTAACAACTTATTTACAGATGTAACAAGTAATTTTATTGTTTTCAGTACGTTCTAGATATAACGTATCTACTCACGTAGTACGTTCATGCCTTAATTAGAATTTATTTGTATTTGTTATTGATTCGTATGATATTCTTATATGATATTTGATGATATTTTAAATTAAAGTTTTTCTTCTCCCGCCCGCAACTATAGATCGATTTAATTTTGTATAGCATTATCTATTAATCTTTACATATAATATAATTGTAACTAAGCCAAATCTCTACATTAAATATTTTTTGGAAAAGCTTATTGAAATAAATATTATTATCGATACAGAGGCCGAATTTATAGTTTATAGAATTTTTGTCTGTCTGTTAACGCATCACAGAAAAAACACTGAAGGGATTTTGATGAAATTTGGTATGATGATAGCTGATATGATATATATATTGAAAAAAATAATAATAACAGAAACCAGTTTTCTTAAAAATATGAAGTAGAATGTAATTAAAATACGGAACTTATATTTTTTTACTTTCAACGATTCTTTTTTTTGATTTTATTAATTTAACATTGTGTAGGTCTTATTTAGATCATGATTATGATTAAAAGTAATATTATTAATAAAATAAAGCGATTGTCATTAAATATATTTGACATATCATTTAAAATTCTGATTTATATATTTTTTTTACTTTAGAAGACGAAGATCCTACATTTTTAAGTTTTAATATCCTGCTTAATTTCATTTAGGATGTCTCTATAATGACTATAGACATAAGAATCACAATTGAGAAATATGATCGAGATTTACCAAAATTACTTCAAAGCTGTAATTAATTAAATTCTTCTTTCTGCCAATATAGTAGTATATAGGTAGTCAGTTAAAAAACGAAATGATCTTTGAAAATAAAATTTATTTTACAATAAAGATATATAAAATCACTATAGTTAATATGATGATAAATGAATTTATGTGAATATTTGTTGCCACACCAAACAATTCTCTTCCCACATGTCTATGCCTTACTGTCATGACTTCAATCAGACCAATCATGGCTTCCCGGCAGGCTGGCAAAATTTGATCAGCAGGTAGGGCATAACCAAATGTGCCATTGTCACGAAGATAGAAAGACATAGCATATCTGAAAATTATAACACGGTTTTTCATCAAATAATATAATATGTTCAGACATTAACACACAGCACCATCTAGTTCCATGGTAAGTTACGAGGCTTGTGTTATGGATACCAGATAGTTGATACACTACACATATTATATAACTTTAAATACATACATATTATAAATATAAACCCATGACTGGAGTACAAACATTCGTGCTCATCACACAAATTAATGCCTCCGGCGGGACTCAAACCCGCGACCGCTGGCACAGCAAGTAAGGTCACTACAAACTAAGCCAAACGTGTCATCCAAAATAACGCTTTCTTAGTTTTACTTGAATATTTTAAATTTTAAATAAATCGTTTTTTTTTATTTTATTTCGGAGAATCTTTTCCGTGACCATTGCTGTAAACTATTCGAGAAGTTGGGAAACAAAAATCAAAATCCACGAAAAAATTGGAAAGATACTTTCATTAAAACTTGGTTTTTATATTAGGATAAAGTTACTCAGGTCAAGTTACAATGACTATGCAAATATGATTATACTTAGATTTTTTACAACATTCTTTGTAGATGTCCAGATAAAATGGACTAGATAACGATTGTTAAAGCTGCTATCTAAAGTGAAATAAATATTTTCAAATCTACACTGAAATTAATAATTAACTTCATACATTTGACGGCACGTTTGGCTCAGTTTTTAGTGACCCTACTAGCTATACCAGCGGTCGCGGGTTCGAGTCCCGCTGGGGTAATTCATTTGTGTGATAATGTTTGTACTCCAGTCATGGGTGTTTATATTTATAATATGTATGTATTTAAAGTTATATATGTGTAGTGTATCAACTATCTGGTATCCTTAACACAAGCCTCGTAGCTTACCATGGAACTAGATGTTACTGTGTGTTAATATCCCAACATATTTATTTATTTATCATTTCTCACTTTATTCTAATATAAAATGTCAGTATTTTAAAATCCTTATTCTCTTAAAATTTTAAACAACTTTAATAAATACCCAATGACAATGTAGGCTACAAAAATATAGTTATTGGTTCAGATATATGTCGTTTTGACTTTAGATATATTTTTTTCTAAATTAATAGAGCGAGGAGCCAACACATAAAAACGATAAGATAACAATTCTAAAGATATAAGTAGCTATCAATTTAGGAAAGATAACGCAGTATAACCATATTAAAATGTCTGTTAATTTATTTTACATAAAAACTAAGACATTGATCTATAACTTTACATATAGATTTATAAGTACAGTTTTCCTCACTTTGTTCTGTAGGTATTCTTTATCCACGAAACACTGTCACCAGATGCTCGATATCCTGAAATGAATTTTATATTTTCATTAAGAACCTTCCTTTTTTTTATAAAAATCGGTCAAATAGAAGTTTTAGTTTTAGTATTTTTAATTTTAAGCTAAGTAGATTCAGAGATAAGGCAGGAGGAATGAACGTGACCGATGAGCACACAAGTCGTACAAAATCATTCAAAATTTGCAATGACTAGAACTTATGTTGATGAGTAAATTGAAAAGCAGTAGACAAGGCAAATACGGAAGGGCCGTGTCCGTAAGTGGCTAACGAATATTCATAATGAAAATTACACTGGTCTATAATACAACTATAATTCCAGTTTGACATCCAAAATATTTATTTGACGCTAGCTATAGTATTTGTATTAGGTGCAATTATAATTATGATTGTAAGTAAATAAGTGAATATTTACCATATTATATACTATAATTGAACGGAATAGTATAGTTCTATTCCCAAATTCCAAGGGCGATACAAATATGGTACAAAACTATACATACATTATTATGTACATACATACATTCATACATACTTACATAATAAATTAAACTGTTAATCGTTTCTAAATGATTCATCCTAATAATTAGTAAATTGTGTTCACCACATCCATTTAGTCAACGAGAGTTGAATACTCATGACTTATTCACCTCCACTTACCATATACGTCGTAAATAGTGCCAACGCGATATTTGACGCCATACAATTTGTACATTTTCAATATAGCTTGTTTCCCATAATTTTCCTGTAAATAGGATTTAAAATTCAAAACTCGTATGAATATTCCGTTCGAGCGCTACGGTTTGCACAAGCACCTCAATTCTGATACAATTCGATTTATTTCCTTAACGTGAACTTTTTGTTCGTTGCGGAAATTAATAATTTTTTGGACTATTGAAAATCTGGTCATGAACTGATTTTATTATAGTCTTCAAGTGAGTTAGTTATGTATATTAAAATATATAAATGGAAATTTTGAAATTCTTGGTAAATTGATGGGTCAAAGTGTTTTTGCTAGATATAAATTGATATAGAAAATATGGTAAAGAATTTGGTTTGAGAGAATTTTTTGGAACATTTGCAGCTTGATTCATTTAAAAATAGACTTATCCTTAAACAAAGCGTTATATGATGCTTATATTAAAATAAAACTGAAGCAATATTATTGTCCTATCAAGAAAACCAGTCGGCATTAAATTATTATTGTATCTACAACTCTCATATGCCCTCCAATTTGCTTAATGGCTTTGAAAGGCTTAAGGGAAGCCGAATAGCAAAGATGCATTACTATGATATTCATGGTTATGTCAACTATCATAAATAACATCAGTAAGTTATGGCCTGCGGAATTCAACTGCAAGTAGGTAACAAGATGGGAGCTGATGCGGAAACAAATATTGTTGATCGAATGGACTATACATATGATATTAGTTAAGTAAATGTTATATATGTATAATATACATAATACATATTATATTATTATAATACATATTATAATACATAATTCATAATTTATTTCAAATATGTACAAATAATTCGTAAAAGCTTCATGTCTAGTTTGGAATTGGGACTATATAAATATTAGATGAAGAATTAAATTCTCGCTTGACCAAATTTTTCATACATAAATATAAATTATAGTTCAGTTCAAATATGTACAATATCCGGTCACACAAGCTTCCGCTCTCTACCACACAAAAGCTGGAACATTTAAGGCAATCACTAATTCACATAAATCTTTTGTATGAAGTTACTGCCTATTTACAACTACTGGTTCTATTTAATAATTGTACATATTGACCTAATAAAGCGATTATACTAAACAGTATTACGGTTAATATCCTACCATAGACATATTATTTACTATTTTAATTAAAATATGGTACTTTTTGGAGGCAGTACACAGTGAAGTGTTTATTTTGCTTTATGTTGTGGATTCGATTTTTTCATTTCATTATTTGGATTAGTCCCAGTGGTAACGCACTCATTTGGGTAGCAGAGTGAAGCGGGTTTAAATCCCGAATCTGACACTCCTGATATCTACATGTGTGAAACATTTAACATGATAACTGATCATATTCGAGGGAGGCTCGGGCCTAGCAGTGGGACGTAAAAAGGCTGAATACATTATTTAGATATAAGGCTCTTATTGACATAAAAATAAGAACGGGTAGTAAAGATTTCCACCATTATAGGAATTTTAATAAAATCAGTCTTTTCATTCCACAAACTAGACATGAGAGGAATTTATTTCCTTATGATAGTATTCGAGGTATTCGATTATACATGCATATTTAAGTGTAAGACTAATAAATACCCTAATGATGTTTTATAAAAAACAAACTACTTCAAATCATGTACGAAATCTTTAAAATAAGATAGAATTAAAATAAAAAGTTACGTACCATCTCTTGAAAATTATCGATATGTTTGATCCTGTCAGCGTAGGGTAAAATAATATTTTGGCCATAAGCGTGAATAGAGAAGTAGTACTTTAAGTTTTGCTTATTAAAATTAATAAATTGCGACAACTCTTTAGTTTCAGGTTCGGAGAAAGCATGAGGTCCACAATAAAATTCGTTGCTAGGATTGTTGCTGCCACCAAATTCTAAAAATATATAAAATAATAATAATAATTGGTTTAGGCACTAATAGAATGCAGTAAATTATTTGTAGTACCGGGTGACTGAGCTTGGCTCGGCGTTTTTCAGGGTGGATATAAAAAATACGATTTTTTCAGCAAAGACCTATATATGTATGTAGATAAACATAAAAAGCAAAATCATCTCAAATACAAAATATGAACCGTTAGAATCGATTCATACAAGAATTGTTCATTTAACATTTTATGTCTTGTATTAAGATAAAAACAGAAACTTCTGACCTTCGGGATGGTAGGCCAACGTTTTAACTATTAGGCTATTTAAATTTCAGACTATGGATACGAATAAAATGAGACATATTTTATCAATAGTAATTAAGTTTTTAATTTTAAAATTTAACAGGTAGCAGTTCCAAACATACAGTAAATAAGATGTAGGACAGACAGATGAACGGTCTCTGAGACTTAGTTTTAGGTTTCCCATTGAAGTCTTTGTATACGCAATCCTAAAAAGTAAATAATGCCTTACTTGTACTTACTGCAGAAACTGTGGTCAAAATTTCTATCCAAGTCCACTCCATAAATACCATTACCCACATGTCTTCTATTTTTACGCCATAAGCGATCCTATAACAATAAAACTTTATAAGTATAATATTACGTTCAAATATTGGGTACGAAGAAAAAGAAAAAAATATCAGTCGTTAAAGAAACTAGGTTATTTTTTCACTATTTATGATAAATTGCCCAGATTGGTGATACAGTGTTGGGTGCTCTTATCAAACTTACTGTTAATCATCTCAATTACAGTGACTGTGAATTCTCGATAAAGATAAAAAAAGCTAAAAATATCAAAGTGATGCAACTTATTTAACTTACAAATTTCATGGTATAGTCATAACCATCAGGATTAACTACGGGTATCAAGATCCAATTAAATTTCTTTGTAACTTCCTTTAGTTTAGTATTTAATGTTTTTTCAGCATTAAGCAGTTGATACGCAAGGTATGTTACAAATTCCGCTGTAACCCATTCATTGCCATGTATGCCACCTTCTACTATAACTGTCTTAGCTGCTTTTTTATTTTTGACTTCTAATGCTAAAATTTCCCTCCCTTCTGCTGATCTACCAATAGCACTAATAGTTGCCTTATCAGAATATAATGTAGTTATATCAGTCATCCACTGGTAAACTCCTTCTAAATCATGATACGCGTCCCATGAAAATGTTTCCAGCTTCATTCGTACGTATCTGCGAATCTTTTGTTTTTCAAAAAGGCTAAAATTTTATTTTTTAGTGAATAATTATATTAATTCAAAATTTTTACTGAGTTCTAAACGATGTTTCTTAATTTGTATATTAAATCTATACTAATATTATAAAGAGGTAAAGTTTGTGAGTTTGTGAGGTTGTAGGGGGTAATCTCTGGATCTACTGAACCCATTTAGATGAAATTTGGTAAGAAGATAGATTAAGACCCTAAGAAGGACATAGAATACTTTCTATCCCGCAAATCATACCTTAAGGGAATGAAAATGGAGATGAAATTTTGTATTCGGAAGCAAGCTAATAATAATCATGAAAATTAATTTGATAATGAATAAAAATACTGCGCAATGCATGCAAAAACTTATACTTCTTTTAGGTAGCAGAAGATAGGAGAAGAGGTCTTATGTACATACGTACGAGTATGTTTAGTAAGAAAGTAATCTATCCAACAACTTACTTTTCTATATTTTCAGATAATAATGTTCTCTGCAAACTAAAATGTTGAAGACGTTCTTTAAACAGATCATCATCATTAGGGCTGACCAAAATCTGTATTGCATCATACAATCTGAAGGGTTTAGACCAAAATACAACATTCAGGTATTTCTGATCTTCTAAACCCTGCAAAAACTTCAATTGGAATCTTTCAAGTGGAACTACATTATAAAGTTTATAATTCCAGTAATTAATTTTACAGTATACAAAATTGGTTAAAAATATTAAAAATGATATAAAAATATATATTTGCATTATGTAAAAGATCTTAACAAAATGTCGAAAATATGACAACTGACACGAATAATGTCAGATAGAAGAATCTTACATAGAACAAGAAAGGCAGAAAATAAATAGTTTTAACGCATTTATACGTTCATTCGGGTATTCTTCTATACATATAATAAAATTGTAACTAAGGCGAATCTGTACTAATATTTTTTGGAAAATCTTATTGAAATACAAATTATTATCGATACAGAGGCCGTATCTATAGTTTTTAGAATTTTTGTCTGTCTGTCTGTTACCGCATCACAGAAAAATCACTGGAGGGATTTTGATAAAATTTGGTATGGTGATAGCTGGTTATTCGGTTCAACATATAGGATACTTTTTACCGCGGGAAACTATCTCATATCTGAGAAAAAATACAAAAACTGCATTGTAAGAGTATACTAACATGTAAAACCTAAGAATTTGCTTTTTGGTCATCTGAACGCGGGCGGAGCCGCGGGCAATGCTAGTATCTTATATACGATAGGTAATTCTATAAAATAAGAACCTAGATCTGCCACCTTTAAAATACCAATCCCTGCAAATTTTATATGAAACATTTTTCACTTACTTGAGAGAAAGAAAAAAATCATTAGTTACATAACTTTTAATTTTGTTTAAAATATATGTAATTTAATAATAGCCATTCTATTTAACGCAGACACGTAAGGTATAGCTTTCAACGAGTATGGGGGAACTACTTCAAAATGCGCCTCGCTTTCAAATTAGCAAGTATACACAAGTTTTCAAGTGCTTATTAGACTATTAAACCTCAAAATTTCAGCTGTGCTAAAATAATACAGGTATGGCCTAGAAAACCTACTGAAGTGACTTCCTCATTTCAAACTAAAGTGAAAATTAGTATCGTTGCATTATTGTGTTTATTACTGGCTATAATTAGTATATTTTAACACTAGCATTGCCTGCGGCTCCGCCCGCGTACAGATAACCAAAAACCAAATTCTTAGGTTTTACATATCAGTATACTCTTACGATGCAGTTTTTGTATTTTTTCTCAGAAATGAGATATTTTTCCGCGGTAAAAAGTATCCTATATGTTAACCCGGATAACCAGCTATCATCATACCAAATTTCACCAAAATCTGTCCAGTAGTTTTCTCGTGATGCAGTAACAGACAGACAGACAGAGACAGACAGACAAAAATTCTAAAAACTATAGATTCGGACTCTGTATCGATAATAATGTCTATTTCAATTAGATTTTCCAAAAAATGTTTAATGTACAGATTCGACTTAGTTACAATTTTATTATATGTGTAGATATACATATTACATAATATGTATACACATTTGCTTTGCAAACGAAGGAACTCGCACCCACCCTAATTTGTTTTAGGGTTATTATATTAATTAAGGTATAATTATTGTATTAATGAAGGTATAATGATTAGTTTTATTATAACCTCTATATATATCACTATACGATCCATTTTATTTTTTTGGGTAAAAAATTTGGATACTCAAGGAATGATTTCAAGAATCGGTCAGTTTAAATACGTTTTCTTTTAACTCTCTATATGCAAATTATTGAAAATTATATTTTTTGTAGCAATAGTTAGTTTTTTTATATTTAGTATATTTTTTTGGCATAGCAATGAACTTGCAAAATTTAAGGAAAATGTTAAAACAAATTCTTACTTACTCAACTTACCACATTATTCACAAAAACTTATTTCTTTAGACATTGGAATTTCTTCCGTTTCATAGAAATAAACTTTTAATGAGCCTGGATTTGTAACTGGTGACAACAGCTTTAATGTTATACTTGTTTCGATATTAAATTAAGTATACCTACATATAATAAAATTGTAAATAAGCCGAATCTGTACATTAAATATTTTTTGGAAAATCTTATTGAAATAGACATTTTATCGATACAGAGGCCAACTTTATAGTTTTTAGAATTTTTGTCAGTCTGTCTGTCTGTCCGTCCGTCCGGCCGTTCGTCCGTTCGTCCGTCCGTCCGTCCGTCCGTCTGTCTGTCTGTTACCGCATCACGAGAAAACCACTGGACAGATTTTGATAAAATTTAGTATGATGATAGCTGGTTATCTGGGTCAACATATAGGATACTTTTTACCGCGGGAAAATATCTCATTTCTGAGAAAAAAATACAAAAACTGAATTGTAACAGTATAATACTAATATGTAAAACCTAAGAATTTGGTTTTTGGTCATATGAACGCGGGCGGAGCCGCGGCCAGTACTAATTGTTAAATAAGAAGATAAATAATGTTATTCGTATACAAGTACACCTTAACTAAGGAGCTTACATTATCGAATGTTTAATTTCGGACAGCTGGATAAAGAACAAAAATTGGAGAACAAGTTTCTTTTAGAAAGCAAAATGGACCCAGTTATGCAAAAAACAGCCATGTGCGTAAAATACCAACAGAGTAATAGGCATTTTATTATAAAAAATAAAATAATTATAAAAAATAAACAATACTTATATAAATATTGTTCAATTTTAAAATAACCAGAAAAACAAAACATAACCCAAGTGCAACTATCGACAGAAAAATGCTGTTGGTACTTTTACGCACATGGCTGTTTTTTGCATAACTGGGTCCAAATATTATAGGAAAAAATACATTAAAAAGTGGCCATTTCTATATTTTGCTTTTAAAAAAAATTCGTTCAGAAATAAATAAATATATCTGTTGTTGCTGCTATGTTTTATTACGCAACAACAGACGATCCTAAAAAACCACCAGACGTCCTTTCATATAACAACATTAAGGCATTAATTATTTCATGCAGGAATCGAACTTATGAACTCCATCGTAGTAGATACCAATATAATGCATATTTAAAATGAGCCATATATACAAATTTTAAAGTTACTTTACTATATTGGCATTTCTAAGATCCCATAACCGTCAGCGTGAGTTCCTGAAAGCTCTCAAAACTTTGCTTGTATCGTTTAATATCGGGATGTGCTTCAACTTAAAACATGCTGGTTTATGAAACTACATCAAAAACTGATGATCGAACTCAGCAAAAGTTTGTAACTATTTTGAAAAGGTTAATAGGATGAAGAGTAAAATTACGCTACTTAACTGTTTTATGTCTTCAAGGAGAACGAGGTGCTAATTTCTGGTGTAAAGTTTTCGTGTATGTTATGGGATATATTTGCCATCTGTGACCGATTAGATATGCTTTGAGTATATCCACCCATCTAAATATGAAGAAAAATTTTTGCCTCTCATGGTGTATGTATTAATTTATTTTTAAAGTAACTTAGAAGTCGGTATATATTTTTAATTTAACTAATTATTCAATATGAACATTTAGTATAGATTTCTCAAAGATGAGATATTGTCTCACAGTAAAAAGTATCTTATATGTTGACCCGGATAACCACCTATAATCATACAAAATTCCTTCAAAATTTGTCCAGTGGTTTTCTCGTGATGCGGTCACAGACAGACAGACAGATAGACAGACAGGTAAAAATCCTAAAAACTATAGATTCGGCTTCTGCATCGATAATAATGACTATTTAATGAATCGATTCAGTTAAAAATTTTGTATGTATATGGAGAAAAGAAACTTTTAAATAGAATACTATAACAGTCTAATTTTAAACTTAACAAGTCTTTTGTTTGAGAGGATATCAAAATAAAGTTTATCGCAGTAGAATTCATTTTGTGACAAAGCTATCTGCGTTGAAGATTCTCTGCAAGACATTATCAGATCTGGAAGGAAACGATGGTCTTTTAATTTCCTTAAATTGCCTGTTAAACAGCCAAAGTTTGTGATCCTATTTAAGCAGCTGTCACTTAACAAAGGCTCGAGATTACGTTGAATAAAAAACTTCACTTCGACTAATAGGAAAAGTTTTACTCATCATCTTACTGTTTGGTTACGTTAGTATTATTATGTAGAATACTATATACTTTTTATTAATATGAGTTTTACTCTATGTACGTAGTATATGATCGATAACGAACGTAAATTTTTTTGTTGTATTTTATTAATTTTTATTATTTTTTATTATAGCGGCAATAGAAATACATACACTGTGAAAAATTTCAACTTTCTACCTATTACGGTTTATGAGATACAGCCCTCTGACAGACGAACGGACGGATAGAGGAGCCACAATAATAAGGTTTTGTTGGCCCCCTTCAGAATTTGAATCGGCTAAAAAGATGGAAACACTTTATGTAGGAAGTCTATATTATGTAGCAACACTCACAGGTAGTATAAAACCAAATTACTAGTAAAAATGGTGAAATATGCCTATCGCTTATATAAATTAATCACGAATCATTATTTCTGATGGGCGTGTGGCGTAATCAACTAAAACAAGGCAGTCCCTTAGCCTATGAAATGTTACGAATTGTTGTACTGTGTCATGTCAGGCCAGCCCCTGCACTATAACTAGATAAAATGTAACATTAAATAAACGTTATATTTTGACGACAACGTGACGGTATCATACTCGTTCGCCTTAAAAATTTTCATTTATTACAATAGCTTTCATATAATTAAGTATTTAATTTCTTAAAATATTATTTGACCACTAGCAACTTACTCTAGCTCCGCTCGGGTTCGTAGGTACGTTTTAACGGTTAGTATAGATTTATTCGAGATGAGACATTTTCCCGCAATAAAAAGTATCCTATATGTCGACCCGGATAACCAGCGATCATCATACCAAATTTCATCAAAATCTATCCAGTGATTTTGTTGTGATGCGTTCCCAGACATACACACAGACAGAAAAAAAATCTATAAAGAATATTTTCGGCTTCTGTATCGATAATAATGTCGATTACAATAAGATTTTCCAAAAAATATTTAATGTACAGATTCGGCTTTGTTACAATTTTATTATATGTATACATAAAACGAACAATTCTTATATATTTATTTCGTGTATCTCGGAAAGAGCTTTGACAATTTGAATCTTTTGTAGTCAGATAAGCTTTTGCTATTTAAGTTTAGAAGAACTTTTTTGTTTTAAGGTTCTATTTATTGAAAATTTTATCTAACTTTAAAGAGAACCGAGCAAAACTTTTTTATGATTAAAATGAAATATATCAGTATATTATTTAGGTAATATTTAAATTTCAAAGTTAAAGTAGTTAACTTACAAAAAGTTTTGAAACAAGTTCTATTGACAAGAAAGTACTTAGACGCGAATCGTAGAAGGTTCTTCGAGAGTAGACTTTAACAAAATCTCCAGGTACTATATCTAGCTTATTACATTGCTTTATATTTAAGTAGATTTTTTTGATTATATTTCTTTTGGCACGTTTGGAAAAAATAATGAGAGTAAAATTTTTACTATTAGCTTACGACAGCCAAAAAGCGACATGATGAAGTTAGCTAAAAGCGACATCATGAAGATAGCTGCATTCCTTTTAGAAACAGAGAGTTGTGACATGCGGAATGAAATCTTTATCTATTTTTGTTCTGTTACGACAAAGAAGTAGGTATAATTTCTTAAGTGCCTACATAAGTACACACACACGTTTTTTTTAAATTAAAAATATATATCTATTTATTGTTTAAGATCTAATAATTT